TCCCTTCAACGAATGTCATGGAGGCTTGCCGCTTTTCCGCTATTCAATGAGCTCATGCCAGCCCGAAGGTGTACTGTTGAGAATGGCTGGGTGAACCCATGGATGTGTGGGTGTTGGATTAGGTGGGTGTTTAGTTTGTCGATTTGGTGCAGGTCTGGTCGAAACCAGCTGGTGGGTCACTTGGTTGGGTGTAATGTTACGATAAATTATTCTTTATTGTTATATTAAATCATTTTTTACAGAAATCCAGTGGTATCACACCTAAACTGAAACAATATAACCAATACAAATAAGCAAAGAGAAAACACTGAAACACCCAACAAAAGTCCCATGAAAATACGTAAAAAATAAACACATTGGTTGCATAAACGAGATTTAAAACACCACTTGAAAAAATTACTTTAAAACAAGTGTCCCTCAACTTTATTTGCAGCAGGCCACAATACATTTAAAGTGTTGGCTGGTCACGTGACATCGTGTAATTTCACGTGTAGACGTTATATAACGTCGCACAGTTGTATGGTAAAATAACATCTGTACACGTGACCAATATATATAATTGTCAGCGATCTCATCTGTATATTTGTTGAATACGTAGGCTTTTGCGAACAATATTATCCATGATCAAGGATGTTTTTTTCCGGGTTAGATCGTGTAAATATAAATGTGTCAATCTTGATTTGAAGCTTTTGTGACTGCAGAATCCATACTCTTTGGTTCTTTCGGTAAAGTCACGTAGGTATAAAACAATAAAGAACCAAAGAGTATAAATGTGTCCTTAACTCACCACCACCCGGCACAGCCAAGTAGTGTAAGGTTTGTCACGTAAACATTTACAAATTTACAATCTTTACGTGTTGAGTCGTAACTAATTATCACCTTTTAACCCCAAAAAATGCCTTTATTATGGCTCTGTATATTTTATCTCACTAATCTGTATTTATTATTTCTCGGTTGGGCCATAACTAAGCGGGCCACTCCAAAAGCCTCTCATAGGCCAGATATGGCCCACAGGCAACCAGTTGAAGACTTCTGCTTTAAAGGACACCTTAAATGCTTTTAACATTGTCCCCGATTATATTTTTGTCATATTTAAATGACACATTCACAATCCGCACGATTAAATGGAGAGGACCGCATTCCTGTTGTCCCGAGCGTCCCACGCTTCGCTCGCTAAAATCTCACGATCTGCGCTGTCTGCTCACGTGCGCCATCTCAGCCCCAGTGAGTTTTCTTGGTACAAAACTTGGTGTAAACTGCAGCCAATAGCCAACCGTGTGTGTGTGTGTACACCAAGGAGATAGGTGGAGGTTATTCTTTTTAAAGGAGGCATAGACTCTGGCCTGAACTCGAGGATATTTGGCCTACTCTTACAAGATGTCTTGGAACAGTTGCGAGTACCCAGACTTTGCCTCGCTGTTCAACAAAACTGTGGTCTTACAGGAGGTGGGGAATTCTGCCAATTTTAGCACTGTTTCTACTGCTGTGCCAGCAATTTGAAACCGGGTGCCCTCTGGATTGATCGAAGGGCGATCAAGGTCGAGTTGGAATATCAAGTAAAAAAACTCACCGCGGTCATCATTAACACTACATATATTTTTTGTAATAAGGTACTGTCATATATTGGTGTGGATTTTGGGTTTTAATTTGTGTTAATTTGTTGCTGTGTACCACTTCCAATAAAGTATTTCCTTTCCTGACAAAAAACGGGTGTGTAAATGCAACTGTTTGGTGTCTCGCCTGGGTCCTAAGTTAATAGTGATGACGATCAGTTCAACAGAATGTAATCTTATATATAATATAAAAAAGGGAAATTTGTGAATGTGTCTGTTCAAAATGTTTAGCATACTTCCCGACATGCAACAAACTTGAAATGTGGCATGTGGGTACTTTCCAGACTGTACACCATGCACAAATGATAAAAATAGACTTTTGTATTTTTGGGGTGGGGGGGGCGCAATAATGCATATATTTTGCACGGCAAGTGAGCTGTGACGTCACATCTGTCATCACCCGCATGCGGAAGCGTAACGCAGTGTTCCTGCCGATGTCACGCATCCCCCCCCCAAATCCTCTGCGACTAAAGTGCCATACAAATGTGTTGTAGGTCTAAGGCGTTCTTCACGCAGCATTGCTTTATTTCAGTCGTTTACTGCCATACGCACCCTGAAAGTTGTGTGTCTGCTGCAAGCGCGTGTATATGGGGGGAGCAGTAGTGTAGTGGTTAGCGCGCTGCACTACGAACCCGGCGACCCGAGTTCGATTCCCGCTCACGGCTACCACCGGTCACGATTACTTGAACCGGTCCTGGGCCTTCCCTAGGTCGACTCAGCCTAAAACGAGTAACTCATGTGGTGTGTGAACATCGCCACTGGGGGTACAAAGGTGGCCGGGCGTGGTGAATCCAAGTCCCGGGCGAAACCAAGTAGTAAAGCTAGTTGTAGTATAAAGTATCTGTAATTACATAAGCTGTTCGATGTGCGTTTCAAGTTCTATCCATTAAAAGAAAGATAATTCAGAGTCAAAAGCCATCAGTGGCACGAGTACAGAAAATGCCCGTAAAATCTGTCAGGTTGTGATTGTAGTAGACTCCGAAAAGCTGCAAGGTAAAACATAAAACATCTTAGAGTAGTACATATGCACGCCGCTAGTCAGATCGCAAATCTAGGAGCATGGCAGTGGTTGCTCGGAATGATGTCATCACTTCCACTGCACCAGCAATCAACTGCTAGGAAGACAACCCCCATGCAACTTGGTAACCAGGAGGTTACCCATGTCAGATGACAACTGTGATATGATTGGTCCATACACTTCAGCCAATGTGGCTGTGGTACATATATTTTTTATTATATCCGTAATTAATATAATAAATTTGTTAATGCTATTAATGTTAATGCAAATAGCGATGTTTTCATAATTTTTGACTTTGACAATCAACCTTAAAGTGGTCCTGTCCACCGCTTAAGTACTCTCCTAACTTTATAAGCCTTATTTGACCCAAATGCCATATTAAATCGGCACTGTGACAAGTCTTAGTTTATGCAACTTTCTAGATTTGCGCAAGTCTTTCTGCATTTGGGGCTCCAGAATTTCACGCTCAGCTGTGGCACCCTCTAGAGCACAAACAGCAGCGGGTTTACAGCAGATGACGAATTCTGATTAAAACAAAACAGGTGATGGAACAAACTGCGTCTATTTCGTTGTTTTTCCCCTCTTTAATTATTCTTCAACAATACAGATTGACTGTTGTACATTTTGCCGTCACCCAGACATTCCACAATAACCTATTCCCTGCCATATGTAATCAATTATATTTACGTTCAATTACGTTTTAGATTTGCCGACCCCCTGCTCTAGTGACATCATAGACATAACGAAAGGTCGCGTACCTCCAAATGGCAAACAGGAGCCCTACGACTTCGGCCACGTCGCAACGACACACGGCAGCCTGCGGGGAGCCACTTCGCGCTCGTCTATGCAGCCCAGTGCACGGAGGAAGATTTTAAACCCATAACCGGGGAGGGGAGTCATCTATATATATAAAAGTCAAAAAATGTCTGTGGGTTTGTGTGTGACTTTGTGTGTTCACGCGCTTGCAAAGGATTTGGCTCTCCAACGGTGGGGTTTACGTTAAATAAAAATAGCCAGGTACCACGCCGTAAGCCCCGCCGTGAGCAAGCGCTATGCCTTTTTCACATTCGTCAACTTTAAATTAGTTTAATTAGCGATTTAGTGCGATTTGTGTGTGCTATCTCTTTATTTATTTATGACGCATGCACGACCATACCAACTCGTGCGCCTTTGGTGGGAGGGAGACATTTTCTTTCGCGTTAAAAATGCTATACAAAAAACACTAAACGCTAAGCTTAAATCTTCACTGTGTGATGTCCCCCCCCTACCCCGATGCGTGCAGTTACTAATATATACAGTCGCTAGATGCTACCACTATAGGCCGTAGATATTACTGCAGAGTGGCCGGGGAGATCGTGGCTGGGGGGGGGGGGGGGGGGGGGGCGGTCAGGGGTAGCAGCCCAGCCCCAGCCTGCCAAGGTGCCACCTCGGCCGGCTGGACAATCTAGGCGAGGCCGGAGGCTCTACACGGGACTAAGCCTCACCATGCCACTCTGTCAGGTGAGTACTTTGTGCTATAGAGTCTATAAATACAGTATGCACTGCTGTAATCATAGCAGGTACCACCACAGTATGCACTGCTGTTCCATTTTTAAGAGAAGTTTTTCAAATATTTTTAATAACCGGGTACTTCCCGCTAGTACAAAATAAATTGGAATGCGTACGCCCACAGTATGAGAACTTGAGAAGAGAGACCTACAATTAACTACGGAAGTGGATGCCAAGAGAAGGCGAGGGAAGCGAAAGATGGTGGAACAAGTGGCGGCAGAATTGACGACATCGCAACGTTCAGAGGGCACTTCTGGACAAGAATGGTTAATGAAAGGAAGGGATTAAAAAGGCCTTTGTCTACCAAAATCAGCAAGGAGCATAAACCATCATCACGCAAATTCCGATCATCCTCGCAGCAGCGGATTTTGGCTGGCCATCAAACAAAGACGGCCGTCACTGCCATCGAGCGCTTTCAGATGCGCTTCTGTGGCCGTCTGGAACGGTCTTCCTACCGATATTAGGAAGCCACTGGAGCATTGCCCTTTTAAATAATTTAAATTGACAAACTAATTTATTTAGAACTGCTTTTTGGTTCAGTTTGTTCTTCCCCTACACCTCCGATTGGCACGGTTGGCTATGTATGGTGCGAAAGAAGTTCAACATACATGCATATACGTCCGGCAGTGACAATAGCATCAAGGGCGACACACCATTCTGGAGCTCAGAGCCTCGATTTCAAGGTGAATAAGCAGGTTTCTTTTTATATACAAGCAGACATAAATTGCTGCATTGCTGTGTTTCGATATTATTTTATTAATGTAATAAAATTGTCCAAAATTTTTTATGGGTTATATATTTTTATATCTTACTAATATTTATTTCCCAATTTTGCTTACAATTGTGCTATTTCCATCTGGTTATGAGATGAAATTCCCATCAGAACTTACAGAGTAGTGCATCACCCCCATGCTATGGAACGGCCCGCGAATGCAGATATTGCAGAACTACTTCCGAGTTCCTGTCAAAGTTACCTCTTGTAGCCACACAATAAACAGCACACTTTCCCACATGCCCACCTAAGAAATGTTCATCAGATGGATGTCAACTCGAAATGTATACAATTTAAGTTACAAACCAACGTTAAAGTGATATTTATTTGTAGTCATTGATGACCATGCTGAGAGCATAAACATGCCCAGTTTAATTATCAGTGCCTGCTGGGATGGAAACTTAGGCGTGCGGTGGTCAATGGGATTTTTTGAAATTCTAAGAGCTGAAATTTTTGCCAAATGAAGTGGAAAATTCAACTTTAAGTTAATGTTTTGCAAATAGTCGGGGTAGTAGGCGGGTGAGAAACCCGGACTCAAAACCCAGGAAGTCAATGCTACCATCTCATCGTCTATGACCTCTGAGCGACCCTGCCACCAATACCCAAGCAACCCCAATTCGAACACGATTCGAAATTCAGAGCTGGAATTTAGCCAAATTAAGCTAAAACCAAAACTTACGTTCGTAGCTTTTTTTGTGCGCATTCATTGGCCATTGAGCCAGAGGCCATCAACTCTCTGCGCTTGAGAGAACCTAGCTACATAATCACAACCCGCATCGTCAGTGGTACTGGCCCAGCATTTCTCTCTACGACCCGCAACCTCCCGGCCCACCCGGCCACCCCCGTGACTGCAGCGCCACTCATCACCAGCACTTGAGCGTGACCTGGCGCAGGTGCAGCACGAACGTGATAAGCGTCACTGTCAGCAGGTAGAGCGTCATTGTCATGGTGGCTTTCAAGTCGGACGCCGCCAGCGTGTCGGTGCACACGTTCACCAGGCCCGTGCACAGGTTACAGATGAGGAAGAAGAACAGCTGGTTGCGGTTGATGGCTGCCAGCAGGCAGTGCTTCGGCGGTGGTGGGGTCGACAATTTCCCTCCGCCGTCGGCGCCGCCCGCGACCTTTCCGCTGGTGCCGCCCGCTGTTTCCGCCCCCGCCACATCCGACCAGCCAGTCCGGCGCGCCAGCTCGCGGGAGTCTGCGGTGACAGAAGAATGGTTCACCGTGGTGGGTGGAAAATAGCAGCCGCCATTGTAATTTACTTTGGGAATTTTTTTTAGTTTTTACTTTTTCCAACTCGGCTGGAAAGCTTTTGTGCTTTCAACCCTTTTCGTTCGTCCACCTTGTCCCATACCAATTATATACCCATTATGTCTAATTATACAAGGGTGAAAGTATTAGAGTTACTCACACCTATGACCAAATTTCATCATTAGTCCGAAGCTAAGCCGGGTTGAGCCTGGACAGTCCTTGGATGGGCATCCACCATGCAAGACAGATGTTATAGGCTTGTGGGGCTACGTGGTAGGCAGAAGAGCGCAATTCAGCTAAATCCATTGTGCTGTACTTCTACGCTCCCACGTCTATGCCGCTCCTCGCCTTCATCAACCCGTACCGACCAGCACAGTAAAGTTAGCGTTTGAAAAAAACTAAACCCCGAGAGCTCACACGACGTGAGGAGAGCCCTCCATCCAGCAGCGGATTGAAAAAAAAGACTGTACTTGTAGACATTTACATTCACGGAAAACAGCAAGGCTGAGAGCACCCCCCTGCCCCCCACCCTTTGCCCGGGTCACTGCAGGACTTCTCCCAGTGACCCGGTCAGCGAACCGCCCCATTACCTGCCCAGCAGGGGGCGACCCTTTGCCGACCTTTGTGCACTGGCATCCCGTCGTCGACTTGCGGGACGCTCGCCGCGTGACCACCTCCGACCAGTCGCGTCACGCCCACGAGCAGGAGGTCGAAGAGCATGGCGGTGGAGATGAAGAGGATGCTCTGGGCCAGCTGAGGATGGGCAGAAAGGCAAACGAAGTGTCTCATCACAATATCTTACTTTCTGTTATCCCCTGATGTTTGGAATTCTCTCCAATTACCACTTCCCTCTCTGCAAGTACTGACAGATCTCTCACCTCTCACAGAGCAGTGAAATCCCAACCCCATCCCCTCCCTCCCACCGTGCGGGGAACTACAGTGGCGAGATATTAACAAACTCGCCTGGTATACAGGAGGTTGTGGGTTTGATTCCGACGCTGATACCTGTATATTTGGAGTGTGCATGTTCTCCCCTCGTGGTCGTGTGGATTTTTTTTCCAGGTCCTCTGCTTATTCCCTCCACATTTAGAATCAACATGCGTTTAGAGTATTTGGCTGCTATTAATTTCCACGTGATAAGACACTTCGTTGAGCTATTATTCGTGGCCAGGTCGCTTGTGAAAAAATAACTATATAGCGCAGTAGGGCCTTACCTGGTTAAATACAAAATTATTTTCAGTTGAGTGTTGGAGAATGACCCACAGAAACGGACATCACAATACTACTTCCGAGACCTCAGCTCTACACAGTAATGTGGGGGTGCGGGCAGCACTTTTTCACCTAACTTTCTACAAGGGGTCATATTCATCGCAGTCAAATAATCAGTCAAAGGATACTAGATTTGAAGCTTTCGTGACTGCAAGGATCCATACTTTTTGGTTCTATTCGGTAAAGTCACGTAGGTAAAAAATAAAACAACAAAAAATCACGACGTTTCGCCCACAACACAAGCGGCCTTCATCAGGTGAAGGGATCAGGCTGTCTTGAGGACAGCGCTGGAGTGGAACACAGCCACGCTCAGACCGCGACCTTTAAGCTGTGTGCGAGGAAACAAGGTGCCTTGACAAAGGAATTAGCATAAAAAAATAGCATTTGATTGCCCGACTTAGCATAGAAGTGCTGTACATGCAAGTGCACATGCCGGTTGGCGCGGGGGGGGGGGGGGAGTTTCCCTATTGATGGTGTGAAAAGGGAATTTAAGAGCTGCGAAAGTTTGGGGTACCACTACTTGAAAAATATACTGTACCATTGAAAATTAGTTTAATGTTTGGTTCCATTTAGAACATCTTTCCAATGGTTGCTTAATTTGAAACCATCTTCTCGGTTGAAATTGTGTCTGTGCTTGTAGATCTGAATTGCCTCGTGAACAAATCTCTGATAAAAAAAAAACCCGTGGGTTTGCAAAGAACCTTGGTATCGGAGAAAATTATATCGTGATCACCCACAGCGTTGTAACAATGATCAGCTACGGCAGAAGAATTCGTTTTACCGTGTTTCAAATCTGATTTGTGCTCGCGAATTCAGTCAGAGACATGTCGCTTTGTCTCCCCGATATAGCAATCACCGCAGGTACAACTCAATTTGTAAACCCCGGGGTACTGTAAGTCAGGAATGACATCCTTCACGGATGGGATCAGATCACGAATTTTGTGTACTGTATTGAACCGGACCTGGATCTTGTGTTTGTTTAGAATTTTGGAAATCCTTTTAGTAACGCCTGCTATATATGGTAGTGTGATGGTTTTGACCGGAGTATCAAGTGGTTGTTTCTGTATGGAGGGAGAAACAGCTTGGCGGATGGTATGGTCAGAGTATCCATTCCTTTTGAGGGCCAGGTGTACATGTTTTAATTCACTGGTCAGGTGGTGTTGGTCCGAAATGCAATGAGCCCTATGGTATAAAGTTTTGATGAGAGAATTCTTCAGGGCTGGGTGGTGGTGGGAATCAGGCTTCAAGTAGGAATCCGTGTGGGTGGGTTTCCTGTAGACAGAATGCCCCAATGAGCCATCAGGTCTCCTCTCAAACAGAACATCCAAGAATGGTAGCTTGCCATCTTTCTCCACCTCCATGGTGAAATTTATGGCGGGATGTCTGGGATTGATGTGGTGTATGGCCATGTGGCCAAATGACGAAAGTGTCATCCATGTGGTATCAGGCACTGGGACAAGACCCCGATACACCTCCACTGGTTAGGCACTGCCTCAACAATACCTACTTTACTTGGAATGGCTCCTTCTACAAACAAAATGAGGGTACCCCCATGAGATCCCCCTTGTCACCAGTGATAGCCAATATTTTCATGGAGAAATTTGAATCAGACGCCATCCAGACTTCCACCCTCAGACTTTCCCTGTGGAAGAGATATGTGGATGACACTTTCGTCATTTGGCCACATGGCCATACACCACATCAATTCCAGACATCCCGCCATCAATTTCACCATGGAGGTGGAGAAAGATGGCAAGCTACCATTCTTGGATGTTCTGTTTGAGAGGAGACCTGATGGCTCATTGGGGCATTCTGTCTACAGGAAACCCACCCACACGGATTCCTACTTGAAGCCTGATTCCCACCACCACCCAGCCCTGAAGGATTCTCTCATCAAAACTTTATACCATAGGGCTCATTGCATTTCGGACCAACACCACCTGACCAGTGAATTAAAACATGTACACCTGGCCCTCAAAAGGAATGGATACTCTGACCGTACCATCTGCCAAGCTGTTTCTCCCTCCATACAGAAACAACCACTTGATACTCCGGTCAAAACCATCACACTACCATATATAGCAGGCGTTACTAAAAGGATTTCCAAAATTCTAAACAAACACAAGATCCAGGTCCGGTTCAATACAGTACACAAAATTCGTGATCTGATCCCATCCGTGAAGGATGTCATTCCTGACTTACAGTACCCCGGGGGTTTACAAATTGAGTTGTACCTGCGGTGATTGCTATATCGGGGAGACAAAGCGACATGTCTCTGACTGAATTCGCGAGCACAAATCAGATTTGAAACATGGTAAAACGAATTCTTCTCCGTAGCTGATCATTGTTACAACGCTGTGGGTGATCACGATATAATTTTCTCCGATACCAAGGTTCTTTGCAAACCCACGGGTTTTTTTTATCAGAGATTTGTTCACGAGGCAATTCAGATCTACAAGCACAGACACAATTTCAACCGAGAAGATGGTTTCAAATTAAGCAACCATTGGAAAGATGTTCTAAATGGAACCAAACATTAAACTAATTTTCAATGGTACAGTATATTTTTCAAGTAGTGGTACCCCAAACTTTCGCAGCTCTTAAATTCCCTTTTCACACCATCAATTGGGAAACTCCCCCCCCCCCCCCCCCCCCGTGCCAACCGGCATGTGCACTTGCATGTACACCACTTCTATGCTAAGTCGGGCAATCAAATGCTATTTTTTTATGCTAATTCCTTTGTCAAGGCACCTTGTTTCCTCGCACACAGCTTAAAGTTCGCGGTCTGAGCGTGGCTGTGTTCCACTCCAGCGCTGTCCTCGAGACAGCCTGATCCCTTCACCTGATGAAGGCCGCTTGTGTTGTGGCCGAAATGTCGTGATTTTTTGTTTTTTTATTTTTTACCTACGTGACTTTACCGAATAGAACCAAAGAGTATAGTCAAAGGATATTTTGAATTCTCAGATATTTAGGATTCTCAGAGCTGGAAATTTAGGCAAATGAAGTGCGGAACCAAAGCTAATGCGATGGGTTGGGTTTGTTTTTTCGTGCAGTCATTGGTAACTGGGTTGAGACGCATCCACTCTCCATAATCACAGATGACTGTCGAGATTCGAACCCACGACCTCAGCGGTGCCAGCTCAGCGCTCTGACCACCGAGTCACCTGGGCACCTTTCAATTCCGGTTTGAATGTTTTCGAATAATCTTGAAATATTTTATGCAATAAGAGCGTCTATCCATCTGTCCGTAACATGGGAGGGGGGGGGGGGCACGATAACCTTCATAAACACGATCCAATGTGACTGAAACATTAGTATACCTTCCCCAAATAAAAATTGGTGAAATTGGTCAAAGGGTTGCCCAAATCTTGCAGACACAACCCAGAGCCAAAATTACTCTTTACAAGTGTAGTGACATAGAATCGGTCACTTCGCAGCATAGCGCTGGTTGCTGGTAGGGAAAGGGATCTGCAGCTACAGCAGCCCTGACTGACAGCAGGTCACGTGATAGACCAGAGAGGGATGTAGGGGAAAGGTTATGGCAGGGGCACATCGAGAACCTGCTAGTAGGTTCCAGAAGGGGGCCGTGGCCGGGGCGTGGCCAAGGCGTGGCCAGGGCGGAGCCAGGCCACGCTGAAATTATAAGAGGGGCCCCAGGAGGGGACCTCGGGGCTGTCGTTTGGAGTGGGATCCCGTCGTGCTGCTGGAGTCTTCGTCGCCGTCACCGTCTTCACCATCTCGGCGTCGCCAGTCAGACAGTTTGCCAGCTGTCCTGACTGGGAACCGTAGTTGCTAAAGTGTGAACTGTTAAGGCTGTTAATAAACAGAGTGCCTCCTACTCTAGTGTCTCTGAGTCAGTCACTACACAAGTGTAGAGGTGTTATTCCGCACTCCCCATGTTGTCAGCGGGTAGCGTCACTATTGGGTCAACAGGGGGCGGAAGAGTGGCTACGCCTATATTAAGGGGCTATGGCAAAAGGGGCCAACGGTGATCTCAGGGATAACGGATCCTGGGACATAAGCCACAAACCCCGGGTGGGAGGATTTGGGGATGACGCCACCCTTCCAGGACCTGGTGGAAGGATCTGGAGGGAAGGCGGGGCCGGGGAAGAGCAAACCCCGGATCTGTATATAAGTTGGACCACTGAACGATAGAGGGTCAGAACGATAGAGGGTCAGTCTCCTCCACTCCGAAGACCGAAGACCTGGGCTGAAGCTAGGACACTGGACTCCAAGCTCCACCGTCCTTCTAAGGGCCGGAGCTCAGTGAGGCCAGTGGTCAAGGGAAGATAGGTCCCTGGAAGATAGAACCCTGGACCCCAAGCTCTGTCGTCCTTCTAAGGGCTGGAGCTGAGTGAGGCCAGTGGTCAGGACCCGACGACCCGGGCACGGTCGGGTCAGCATAGCCTCCCCTGGGGCCCCAGCCGGAGGTCGGGGAATTAGCAGGGTCCCCAATGTTAGGGCAGTGTAGCCCGGAAGCCATACCTCCCCAGGTATCGAGTAAAGGGGCCGCGACCCCTTTGTGTTAGGGACCCTGTAGAAAAGAGTAATAAATATTGTGTTGCCTCAACTAGTGTCTCCCCTGGTTTCTGATCCACTACACAAGTATACAAAACACTATTGACCCTGACAGCTCCCCGCCGGCTTCCATACTACTAAATAAATACATTCGAAGACGAAAAGACGTTGGAAAGTGTTACATAATCCAAGTGTATGTACGATTGTTTTCTAATTTGTTTTGAGAATATTAATACTACCTTTACAAGCTTAGCACTCACCTCTCGTCACATCTTTCCTCCACCACCACCATCGCTGCCTCATCACCACCACTGCCACCACCGCTCATACCACCAACACCACCACCGGTGCCACCATCATCACCAACCACCGCCACTACCACCACCGCCACCGCCACTGCCACCATCACCACCACCGCCATGAAAGCCACCACTGCCACCACCACCAACACAACGGCCACCACATCCACCACCACCGTCGCCACTACTCACCGACCAGAGCACGAAGGCGAGATTGGCGAGTCGGCGCGAGACGTTGTCCACTCCGCTCCGGCAGAAGAGCAGCGCGACCCACAGCATCGTGACGCCGGACAACATCGTGAGCACCACGAGCACACAGTCTCTCAGGCCCAGGCACGAGTGGCTGTCATGACACACAATGCGATTTTCGTGATTAAATCAACATCATCATTCCAGCGGTCTCTAATAGGGATCTCATAGCTCTTTTCCACTTTCAAACCGAGCTGCAGTAGGGCCATGTTGAGCCAGCCAATTTCAGCATAGGGGGAGTGTCAAGCCATACCGATGATGTCACACACAACACTTGACCTCAGCACCATATAACGTGTCAGTTCAGTGCACTGACTGACGGCAATGTATGACGGAAATTATGAACCCCAACCCACGTGACCCTGATTGGTTCTGATCCGTTGATTCAGATGGCTTGTGGAAGCCAGAGCTTCACGGTTTGTTCCTGGCTCGGCTCGGCAAATAGCCAGTGGAAAATCGCCCATGGCCGAGGTGGGCCCACGCTCAGTGCAGCTCGGATGTGCCAGTGAATGGATGCTTCATCTCACGATGTGGCATTGCTCGCTGTCGGCCACCACCACCACGCAGCCCTGCAGCCTGTAGCCTCTAACACCTGCAACGCATTGTGGTCACCCATTCAAGCGCTATCGAGGCTCCGGCCTGATTAGCTTCTGAGATCTGATGAGATTGGGCATATTCCTGGTGATTTGGTCATTGGTTAACATCATCATCATCATCATTATTATCATCATCTAACAAGGGCCAATAAAATGAATACCATATTGTGGGAAGTCGACAGTGGCTGTTCTGTGGACTGATAACAGAAAGGTAGAATTTCCACCCTCTGCCTTTGGGTCAACATTGGAGATGAGAACTGCCCAATGCTAACTTGAGCTTGGAGACACTTTCAATGTCTTGTCCCTTTAAAGGAAAAGTGAGGCAAAATGCTCCGCCATCCTTCGCCCATTGCCCTTACATCCCTACAAACTGAGATCCATTCTCAGTCGCTGATGAGTGTTTGATAAGGTGATAAGACTGAGTTAGTAACAGAGCAACGAATGAGTGACAAATTAAGTGAAATACACGTTTTTGTTTCTAAACTCACACCGCTCGTATTTGCAATTCCCTCCTATCTTTTTTATACCCAAGTTATTAGAACCCTGCTCAATTCCAGAAATGTATTAATAACTCTTATTTATTACACCCTTAGGAGTGCTGTTTACTGTTCATGTTCAGCAACTATGAATAATAATTTAAAAATTAATCTTGACCAACGGCGTTGGTTCCACCAGACCTCACTATCGGCTTCCTTTCGCCAGATTCCGCGCCCGTTGTAAAATGTATACCCAGCCTTCCAAGGACCGCTCTCACAATATCCCAGCGTCCAGCTTTGGGGTCTCCCTTTACCTTGGTCCCCAACCCTCTGGGTGCCACTCCAATGCTATCTCGATAAAGCTGCCCTCCTCCATCTGCCACACACATGTCCCGCCCATCGCAAACTTTCTCCGTCTCCTGAATATGTACATCTACAGCACACTTTCCTGACACATTATATTCCAGACTTCCAAGTTGAGAAGATCTCTCTTTACCATCTTTATTTCACCAGGTAAGGCCCACTAGAGCTATATAGCTTTTTTTCAGAAGCCTGGCCACAAATGATAGCACAACGAGTGGCTTATCATGTGGAAATGTATAGCAGCCAAATACTCAAAATGCATGTCTCTAAATGTTGGGGGGAAAACCGGAGGACCCTGAGAAAAATCCACGCGACCACGAGGGGAACACGCAAATTCCAAATATACAGGCGTCAGGGTCGGGATCGAACCCACGACCTCCTGTATACCAGGCGAGGTAGTTAACATCTCACCACCGTAGCACCCTAAGTTGCTTGCCCTATCCTTTCACAGCATTTGGCTTGGCGTTTTGAGCCTGTGGGTCTGTGCTCAGCAACTGTGGGGAAAAAAATATATAAAACAATGAGTGAAACCCAACCAACCAATGAGCGAGCAGTAGAACCGTCACCTGACACGGTGCAGGTAGCTTCCGATGTGCACGCCGGAGATGTACAGCGCCAGGTATCCACACACGGACGCGATACCCTCGCGGTTGGCGCTCAGCAGGTCGTTGCGCCCGCCCCTCCCGTCCCAGCCCAGCAGCACAAGCGACTTGAGGCCCAGGTTGTGCAGCGCCAGCTCGTACGAGACGGCCAGCAGCACTGCTGCCACCCAGTAGCGCCGTACACCGCACGCGCTCACCAGCACCGACATCACCTGCACGGACAGGTTTGGCAGTGGTGGCGAGGGTCTTAGATTACTTCTCAACCTACAGTAGATCATCGATTATCCGGCGGCTTCGGGGGGGAGGGGGCGCCGGATAATGTTGGAAGCCGGATAATGGCACTGGATAATTATCGATATCATCTGTATATGGTATAGCAGCACCCGAAACTGAGCCCCAGAAACGCAACTAAGGTTACGAAGGACACAATGCACAGAGAAATCGCATGTCCACGCCCGTAGGCGACGTAGTGTTAGAAAGGCATTTGTATTACGTGTATTTGTGTGTTTCGTTGCCGCAATGTGGCGCCGACATTTCCCTGAGTACACTGGTCTACAATTTTTTTAGATTTCGTCTGATTCAGAGATTAAATATGCTGTTTATTATGAATTTTTATGTGCTGAATTCAAATATGACAATTAAAACAACTGATTAGCTACTGTTCCCAATATATATGTTTTTACATTTTAAATCTATGTATATTGTGTAGATAGTAGAGTTTTACTCATAAATTGTAAACCTAGGTCTTTTCATGTGTTTATGGTTGCTTTACATGATAATGTCACCTGTCCTGTTCATGTGTAGGGGTGTTGCGGGAAGGGAACACACGGTCACATAGCGGTGGCCACAAACACGTCCGCTACAGCCCTGCACCTAGGTGGGGAATTGGTATAAAGGGCGGGGAGCCAGAGAGCTCGGGGCAGTGTGTTGGGGGAAGCCAAGAGTGAAGAACCAGTGAAGAAGGAAGGCCAGTTAGACAGACCCTTGAACTACCCTGACCGCTGCCCTTTTCAGGGCCGGCGGTGCGGCCCCAGAGCCTCAGAGCCAGAGTCCTTGTCAGGGCCGGCCTGTCTGGTTGGGTGTCCGTGACCTGTGCCATGACCAGGGCCCAGGTCAGATAGCCTCCTCTAGCGCCTGTAGCGGAGGAACTGGGAGTCGAGTGGTTAGGCTGTTAGCCTAGAGGGTGTCCCAGTGTGAGTACGGGTGAAGGGGCCGTTTACCCCTTCTATGTGTAACCCTGACAAATGAATAAATATTGCTGCCTCTACATCACCGTGTCCCGTGAACCCACTACACATGTAACACTTAAAAAATCAGCAAACGGGGTTATATAAATAAAATGTATAATGAAACAGAAAAGGCAAAAAACTATTATGTATATATAAGTACATACTCTTTGGGTCTTTCGGTAAAGTCACGTAAAAAGACAAAATAAATTAAATAATAGCATACGATGTTTCGATTGCAACACAAGCAATCATCATCAGGTACAAATGAAAGAGAAAACAAACCTAGTAAACTTAGAAATGTAATGCAATACAACACAGAGAGTTGGCTAACACAACAGTCAACACCCTACCTGGTTGATTACGTTCTTCCAAAGATTGTTACATTTGAGAGAGAGACAAAACACAGACACGTAGTTTAGTCCATATTCAGTGGCTACTGGGCACTTCTTGGCTTGTCTCTTGTTTTCATTAAATGGAGCATCTCTTGTCACTGCCCAGCAATAGTCTGCAAGCATTGATGGGCTCCATTTGCCCCGATAGCATTTCTCCATTGTTGCAATGTCCTGGTGAAATCGCTCGCCATGCTCGTCGCTCACTGCTCTGCAGTTGGGTGGGAAAAATCGAGATGAGAGTGCAAAAAATGTATCTTTAAGTGACATGTTCCAACCAAGGCTTTTGTATGCCTTGAGGTTTTCAACCAACTCCCTGTAGTTGTCTGCCTTGTTGTTTCCGAGAAAATGTGTTGCCACTAACTGGAAGGCTTTCCATGTCATCTTTTTATTGCCACGCAGAGCACTGTCAAATGCATCATCTCGAAGAAGTTCACGAATCTGAGAACCAACAAAGACACCTTCCTTTATCTTAGTTTCACTTAACCTTGGAAATTTTCCACGGAGGTACTTGAAAGCTGCTTGTGTTTTGTCCGTGGCTTTGACAAAGTTCTTCATCAGACCCAGCTTGATGTGTAAGGGTGGTAACAAAATCTTCCTTGATTCAACAAGTGGTGGATGCTGGACACTTTTCCTCCCAGGCTCCAATGACTGTCGGAGTGGCCAATCTAACTTGATGTAGTGGAAATCTCTCGCACGACTATCCCATTCGCAGAGAAAACATTAGTACTTTGTGTATCCAGTCTGCAGACCAAGCAAGAGAGCAACAACCTTCAAATCGCCACAAAGCTGCCACTGATGTTGGTCATAGTTTATACACCTCAAAATTAGTTTCATGTTGTCATAGGTTTCCTTCATATGGACTGCATGATCAACTGTAATTGATGGCAAAACATTGCCATTATGCAGCAAAATAGCTTTAAGACTCATCTTCGATGAATCAATGAAGAGTCTCCACTCATCTGGACCATGACCGATGTTGAGGGCTGCCATCACACCATCGATTTTTTTGCAGGCTACAAGATCACCTTCCATGAAGAAGAATGGGACAAGATCCTTTTGATAGTCACGGAACATGGAAACCCTAATATCACCTGCAAGGAGATTCCACTGCTGCAGTCTGGAACCCAACAACTCTGCCTTATTCTTGGATAGTTCCAAATCCCTGACAAGGTCTTTCAGTTCACTTTGTGTTATAAGGTGTGGTTCAGAGGAGGAGGATGGGAGAAAATCTGGGTCATGTGACCTTGATGGTTCAGGACCAGAAGTTTAATCCTCCTCTTGCTCGTCTGACTCAAGTGATAATGATTCTTGTGCATCAGGAACTGACAGTTCTTCTCTGTGGGGTACTGGGCGTATAGCTGATGGAATGTTTGGATAATGCACAGTCCACTTTTTCTTCTACGACACACCTTTCTCAACTGGAGGCGCCATGCAGAAGTAACAATTTCTGATATGATGTGTTGGCTCTCTCCAAATCATTGGTACTGCAAATAGCATAGACTTCCTTTTCCTGTTCAACCACTGGCAAAGATTTGTTGCACAAGTGTTGCAGCATATATGTGGGGCCCACATCCTGTCCTGATATACAATTTTGCAACCAAAATAAAGGTGATAGGTTATAATGCGCTTTTGTGATGCAAAATTCACTGCACCACAAACATAGCAGAAGTTATCTGCTTTGTTCACACAAGTACGAGGCATCTCTGCTCACTGTGGCTAAACAGAAATGTGTCCCTTTGCAAAATCAAACACTGACAAATAAGAGAGCACGACACTGTATGATTTCTAGAGCTGATATAGGGCAATTTGTTCAGCAGAGGGATGTAAGCCTAGTAATGATTGCATCATCCATGACTTCTAGGAATAATAGGATGCAATTCATATCATATATAATGCAATACCAGGTTCAGATTGCATCATTCATTATTTTGCTCAAAAAGTAAGTACTGTCCAAACCCAGTCATAGATGTATTCATAAATCCAGCCAAATATGTATTTTAGTCATTTCTGGTTTAAATTGAGATCCCTTCCTATTATAACGCACTTATCCTCCGCCATTCCCAAGTCAAGGGTCGTATATACTGACCCAGTAGCATATCTTGAAAACTAGAGCCAATCAACAATTTTAAGCATCATTTTCATTCTCACTGACCCAGAATTAGTAAAGTTGGACTACATTTATTTCGGAAGCATTTTGGCTGTAGACCAGTGGTACATTTGAAATTTATCCTGCCGCTCTCACCCCCCCTCTCCCCCCCACCCTCCACCGCTGCATGTTGTCCCATGTTGTATCGCGGCCACGGACTCATCAGGGGAGAGGAGGAAGGCACGGGAAAAGAGCGCGGCAATGCGCAACTCACCCGCACGAACGCGAGGGTGAAGAAGAAGTTCCAGTGGAGGCCGTACTCGGTGACGTGCTCCTGGTAATCCATGCCCTTGATGCTCGCCAGCCTCACCAGCCCCAGCAGCAGCAGCGGCCACACTGCCAGGAGCTGCTTCGTTACGCTGCGCGCGCCGCGCTTGTCACTGTGAAACGGGGCCGCCGATGGGGCGACGTGAGGGAGAATGGAGTAAAGCGGGGGACGCGTTAAGACGATCGAGAAGAGCCGTCGCGTTTCACGCGATCCACCCTGCAAGCGTTGCAGAGCTTCTCAGTACAATGTTCTTACGGGTCAATGCTGTCATTTTTATTATAATTTGTAACAGGCTGGTGGCTCGCTGAACCTGCTTGAAAACAAGCCTTCACCTGGCCTGCCACAAGCTCTGTGGCGACATCACAACAATCTAGTGGAGACTGCCGGCTGTTGGGTGTGCGTGTGTGCGAGCAACATGTTTCTGTGAGAGCATGTGTGCGTGTGTGCGGCAGTTGCTCGATAATACCACTTGCCCATACAGTCTGTACAGCTATATGGGGAATCTCTGTCTTGTGTATTTACGATGGCATGCATATGTGTTTGCGTCTATGTTTGTGCAGTGAACTGCCTAAATGAGTGTGTGTGTGCGCGTCGTGTGGGGTTCGGAAAAAAAACAACTCCCGACCTCCTCGTGGTGCCGGACGGCAACGTTGCGGTGGGCAGTGCCGTGGGGGGAGAACCAATTTAGATTGGCCTTTCCCTTCATGGCGTTTGTAACCACCACAGCGGCCAAATGGGGGCTCTGGATGGGTGTGAGGGGCTGGTAACCCCTTGACCTTCAATTAACTACCACTAAACTGCGAGGTAAAACATTTATTAAGCTTGTGCCAGAGGCCCTGGGGGGACAGGCATCTATGACATCTCCTGGCCAAACCCCATTTTGCAGAGCCAGGAGACTGAATCCTTACCCTCGGGGCTCCTCCAGAAACAACAAAAAGCCACTACAGATGGCCACGTGGAATGTTCGAATGCTCACTGCAGAGGAGAGGCTGCCACTCTTCTGTCGGGAGCTGGACCGGTTCCGCCTGGATCTCTATGGTATTCAGGAGGTCCGGTGGACCGGCTGTGGCTCCTGCCACCATGAGGGGTGGACAGTCCTCTACTCGGGGCAGGAGAATGCCAATCAACAGGGAGTGGCTCTTCTTCTGAACAAAAGAATGAAGGGGGCGTGGGAGCATGGCAGTGAGGTGTGGGAAGCTGTAAGCCCCAGGCTACTTTGGGCTCACCTTCCCATCAACCAGAGGCGAGGAGTGGTGGTTGTGGTTACTAATGCCCCCACCGAAGACGAACATCCGTGAAGGGATACAGGCAAGGCCGATGAGTCAGATGCCTTCTATGACCTCCTGTCACAGGTGCTGGCTAAAGTGGACCCTCGGGATAGAGTCATCTTGTTGGGTGGCTTCAATGATAATAGGTTTTTCCACTTTTTTCTGGCAACAAAACAGGGGTTAAGATGTTAAAACACCAAACTGAAACCTTTTACAAGGAATCATGGTTAATGCAGACATGATTTTGGTACTGGCAAAGGAGGTCCCACAGGCTGACTTCAATGGTCAAGATGCTAGCACATGGTCTGGAGTAATTGGAAGACATGGGCCAGATCAGCTCAATAACAACGGTAGGAGGCTGCTAGATTTTTGTGCAGCCCATGGGCTTGTAATTACCAACACGCTGTTCCGGCATCGGCTCATCCACACAACATCATGGATACATGCCGGGTCCAAGCAAGAACATCTGCTGGACTACATAGTGACGGAACAGCGTATGCGGGCCCATGTCCTTGACACCAGGACCTACCGTGGAGCTGATCTGCCCACTGACCATCGACTTGTCATCTGTAAGATGTGCCTGCCATTCTTCCACTCAGGTGGTGGGTATACATCCAGGACCCCATTAAAACCCATAGTGGCATGGTCTCAGCTAGCTGATGAAAGTTGCAAGCGAGAATTTCATCATCGCTTGCGACTGGGGTTGCCAACGTCCCCCACTCCTCCTGATGTCGAGGGGAGATGGGCGAGGTTTAGGACTGTGGCTCATGCAGCTGCAATGGCTGCTTTGGGTCCACGGTCCAGACCTCCTCAGAGACCCTGGCTGACAGAGGTGGCTGAGAAAAAGCGACAGGCCCACTCTCATCGTCTACAGCATCCCACGTCAGAGAATGAGGAGGCTTACCACAGCCTTCGCTCGGAGGTTCGGAGAGCCGTGAGGCGCTGCAAGGATGGTTGGTGGTCACGGGTTGCTGAGGAGATGGAGTCTGCCTAAATGGCCCGCGATCACAAATCGCTCTTTAATTCCATCAAAAAAGTAACTTGCAGTGCCAGACCTATTACCATCATTAGGGGAAAGAACAGTGATCCAATCTCTGACCCCCAGGAACAGCTTTGCAGATTTGCAGAGCATTTCTGTGAGGTCCTGGGGGAGGGGAAATCCGTCAGCCTGGAAAACATCGTGGGATAAAGTGGGGATGACCCTGTCGAGGCTGCGGTGCCTCAAATATTGGAAGAAGTCACCGCCTGTGAGTGGCTGGCTGAGGTGCCATCTATTGAGGAAGGACTGAAGGTGATCCAGAGCCTGAGACCAGGAAAGGCACCGGGCAGAGATGATATCCCAAGCGAAATGCTGAGGGAGGGTGGCGTTTGTGCACAGACTGCCTTACATGACATCATAACAACAGTCTGGACCACTGGACGGGTTCCGCAGGATTGGAAGGATGCGCTGGTGGTCCCCATCTTCAAGAAAGGGGACCGCACAGACTGTAACAACTACAGGGGAATCTCACTCCTCAGTGTGCCGGGAAAGGTCCTGGCAAGGATTATTCAACATCGCCTTGCCAGGCACGCTGAGGAGAGGCTTGCGGAGCCCCAATGTGGTTTCAGGAAAGGGCAATCCTGCACAGATGCCATATTTTCTGTCCATCTGCTACAGCAGAGGTGTAGGGAATTCCAACAAGACCGACATCTCTGCTTTATTGACCTGGTCAAGGCCTATGATACCATCAGTAGGCCTAGCTCTGGGTTGTTCTTCATGCTTTCGGAGTCCCTGACCCGCTGCTCATGATCATTAAGGACCTTCATGATGGTGAGCGGGCCCAGATAAAACTACGTGGCCGGGAGTCGGAGCCATTCCCTGTTCACTTTGGGGTGCGACAGGGATGTCCTCTGGCTCCCACATTATAAAACATCTATTTCAACCACGTAGTTCGTGAAGCCTTCAATAGCTGTACCGGAGGAATTTCCATCTGGAACAGATACAATGGAAGGCTGATCGATGCCCGGGTGCGGTCAAGGGATGGCTCCCTATTGCTCAACCATGTTATGTATGCCGATGATCTGGTAATTGCTGCTCACTCAGAGGAGTTGGAGGCGCTGCTGCTGAACCTGGAGCTTGCCACTTAGAGGTGGGGGCTTACCATCAGCCCCACCAAAACTAAGCACCTGCCTGGATATTTTGTCACTCCACCCCCACAACTCCCAATTGGTGATAGGGCAGTTGTGGAGAGAGTGCAGAGTTTCCCATACCTGGGCAATGTGCTCATGACCGGCTCCAGTTTGACAGCAGGCATCTCACTCCGAATCAGTCGAGCGGCATTATCTTTTCATCGGTTGTGTAACGCTGTGTGGAAGCTACCTGGTCTGTCGCTCCGCACGAAGCTTCAGGTTTTCTCGGCCAGTTATTCCCTCCCTTCTCTACGCTTGCGAAATGTGGACCCCCCTAATGCAACATCTTCGCCCGTTAGATATATTTAGGCTGGTCTGCCTACGATGCATCCTGGGTTTAACCAGGCTGGATTGTGTGAGGAGCTCACATATCCTTGAAAGATCTGGACAAAGTCCCATCGGTGAGCTCCTCCGGCAGGCAAGGCTGCGTTGGCTGGGTCATGTAGCCCGCATGCCCAGCCACCGCATGCCTAAACAGCTTTTAGTCGACCGGATAGAGAGGACTAAACGGGCGCTGACTAGTACCAGCAGTGTCAAGATCGGCCTCTGTGGAGGAGGCTCGTGAAAGATGCTTGGAGGCAGTTTCCCTCCAACAACAACAGAGGGGGGAGGAGCGATGCTCACAACAACGAGAGGAGCACCGGGTGGCTAAAGCACAGCAAGTTGGCACAATAGGGGGCACAGGTGGTGCATCAGCCAGTCATCTCAGTCAGTCGACCCGTGGCACCTGGGTCTGCACCGTGACCTCCTGCCAGCAGGTGTCCAACACTTCACGTGGCCTCACCGTGCACATAGCCTGGCACAAGCATTGTGGTGTCACCGCCACTTAGTGGCGAATGGCGGTTGTTGCTGTTGGTGTGGGGAAAGTGTAGGGTAGCGGTTAGCGCGCTGCACTACGAACCCGGCGACCCAAGTTCGATTCCCGCACCTGTGACGATTATCTGAACCATTCCTGGGCCTCCTCTAGGTCGACTTAGCCTAAAAAAATAGTACCTGGTGTGGTGTGTAAACATCGCCATTGGGGAGACAAATCGGCCGGCCGTGGTGCTGGCCACCCACCCCCTCATGCGCCGTGCCGGCCTTCATAGGTGCTACTCGCTAACAGCACTTCCTCCAACAGTCTGTTAAGGCTATACGGGGATCTTGGTGGCTTTCGTGTCTGTCCACGTGTCTGTGTGTGTGCGTGTACGTGCCACGGCTACATCATCGGTGGCGAGTGATATCCGGTGATCTGCTGTCCAACCTCAGCACGTTGCGCGCCTCGGGCGACACGAGGGCATTGGAAAGCACGAAGGTTCCAACGCCGAGGTCCATGAGGCCCGTGCCGTGTATCTCCGTCTTAGCGAAGCGGCGCGGGAAGGCGCGGAAGTCGACGGCGAGGATGCACACAATCGTCAGCAGGTTAGTGTAGGCGCGGAACTGGGTGAGGCAGCGCACGTGGCCCTCCTCTGACAGGAATAGGTGCTGGCCTGTGCGGGCATGATGATGACAGAAACAGGATTTAAAGATTTTTTTTTACTTTTTAAAGACATTTCATAACTGATCTTTCGGATTTTCGGATACATTTAGCATTAACTTGGCAAAAGTGACCATCACCCGATGCCACTTCTTGCGTGAAATGCACGCATGTGACGTCATACGTGTGTGAAGTTCTTTTCTGTGACGTCATACTTTCTTATCAATTAAATACAAAAGGGTATTTTCTTTTTAGATCATCAGATTTCATACCTAGACCCAATTTTCGGATTTTTTTCTTTTCTTTTTTGGGATTAACCATAAAAATTGGGCGCACATCCCTAGCGGGGAGTAAGCTCAAAGGTAAAAGTTAAAAGTAAAAAAAAAATATTTCATTTTTAATTTTATTTTAAATTTTATTTTTATTTTATTTTTACCTACGTGACTTTACCGAAAGAACCAAAGAATAATGCCAAGCTACTACCTGTTGTCCTCGGCACTCTGCTGTATAGTAATGGGATGTGGACTACCTACAGCATCACACCCTTGGTATTACTACCTGGCAAGACAAGATTACCACCGCAGACGCCCTCGCCCAGACCCAACTTACCCAGCATTTTGTTTGTCTATCTCCTGCACCTCCGAATAGCACGGTCGACCATGTACGGTGCGAAAGAATTTCAACATATGAACCTTATGGCGGTACCCCGGGGTACCATGGTACCCCGGCTCTCGCCTAATGTCCGTGATGCAGTCATTTTAAGAACCAAAGAGTATGGATCATTGCAGTCACGAAAACTTCAAATCTAGAATTAGCTTGGCATTGTTCCACGCAAACTTAGTGATCCTTCCAAAAGTTGTTGCTGCTGCCTTCTCAAAGTGAACATCTACTTCCTTTTCGAGCGACAGGTGCGCTTCTGCAGCCGTCTGGAATGCCCTTCCTTCCGAAATTAGGAAGCCAATGGAGCTATGCACTTTTAAATCTAGACTGAAAATTCATTTCTTTAGAACTGCTTTTTGCGTTTAGTTTGTTGTCCTTCCCCCGCACCTCCGATTAGCACGGTTAGATACGTGCGGTACGAAAGAAGTTCAACATACATATACAACACAAAGCCATTATCGGAGAGCTCAGGTAAAACTGTTTCTCTCACTCCCCACCATTAATGTATTACACACCGTACTGTGAACTAATTTAAGGCTGACTTGAACCATAATCAGAATCTTTATTTAGAGTGTAGGAATCCGATGAGCCATGAAGCTCTTTTTCACAAATGTCCAGCAAGTTACAACACAAAAACATTTTTTTTAAAACCATAAGAGTGCAAAATAGACTTGACTTGACCTCGCAGAGCCATAAGACGAGGTCAGATATTCACCGCCGATGTAGGCCGTGAGCGGGAATCGAACTCGGGTTGCCGGGTTCGTAGTGCAGCGCCGCAAACCGCTACGCTACCGGGACAAAACTCTTGAATATTTAATGCTCCCCCGGTGCCACCAAAACCCAGCCCAGTGTGCCGGCATTGTCACCGGCTTTGTCGCTGACGTTTTCAGCATCGGCGGTTGCGGAGGCTGTTTCCGCCTTGCGTCGGCACTTGAGCGATCGCCACAAGAGCAGCAGCAGGCCCGTCAGCGTGACCGCGGCAGCCAGGAGGACAACAAGCACCGTGCTGATGTGCGGCGCCAGCACCGTCGTGCTCAGCGTGTAAGGCAGCACGAGCAGCAAGAAGTCACGGACAAACGCCACCCTGTGGGCGCAGACAAACAAATGGGGACGACGCAAGTGAGAGGCACAGGCACTGGCGTTACCGCAAGGGAAACTCTAAAAAAGGGAACCGTCTGTAATTAAACTAGGTTATCAAGTAAAATGTTTATAGTCGAGCCAATTGCCAATGGCCGCACAAAAAAAAATCACATTAAATATGTTTCTGTACTTAATTTAGATAAATTAAAAAATATTCGTTTGACTGTCATGTGACAATCATTAGTCTCAGTGGCAGAATGGGTGGGGAAGTGCTACTCTGTGAACCAAAGGTCACTTAACAGGAACTCAGAGGTAGCTCTGTGATATCCACATCCATAGGCCAATCTCTAACACAATGGTTTGCATTGCTGTGCAGGCGATACAAATGGGTTCCTTGTTGCGTGATCTGATGCCGATCGTGCAATCGGGATAAAATAGAGGGATAAAAGATATATCAGAAGCCCTTTGTTAATCATCTGTTGAATGAAGGCCTTCCCAAACCGTGTCAGTCATGGGAGATGTTTCGCCATAACTTCACCACGCTGGTCAGTGCGGGTTGTTGAAGGAGGGCCAAGGGTCGGTTGAGATATCACTCATCACAGATGACATACACCATGGCCGCAAAATAAACTTAGATCGCCGGGTTAATAGCACAGCGCTCTAAGCGAATCCCCCCCCCCCCCAAAAAAGCAATACAAACTATTGAAAATAATCCATTGTTAGGTGCACAATTCCACGTGTGGATTGTGAGGAGGAGTACCGGTCATAATCGTCGACACGTCGTTCTGCAGCGACAGCACTCACCCTGCGCTTGCCGAGCCTGCCCAGAAGAGCCCCAGGAGGCCGCGACAGAGGTCTCCCGCAGGGAGGATGGTGAGAAGGATGGCGATCTCGCTGACGTTCGTGCCATTGAGGTTACTTACGAATGCCTCCTTGAGTTCCTTGTAGGAGGCGTTGGGAGGCTCCATTTCTTCTCTACTGCGCTGGAGGTCTAAGCGGCCGTGGAGAGGTAATATGTTTAACTTAAACGGCACAATCGTTGCAATTTCACCAAAAATAATAATATTGTCTGTGAGGTGGTGGAATGAGTGAAACTAGAATATGTTTTGATTTAAAGCTTTCGTGACTGCAGTGATTCATATTCTTGGTTCTTTCGGTAAAGTCACGCTGAAGGGAAACAATGAAATAATATATATAAAACAATTAAATTCTCACGACGTTTCGACTGTAACGCAAACAGTCATCATCATGCCGTTGGTTTCTCACACCTGATGATGACTGTTTGCGTTACAGTCGAAACGTCGTGAGAATTTTATTGTTTCATATATTATTATTTTATTGTTTCCCTTCAACGTAACTTTACCGAAAGAACCAAGAATATAGAATGTTTGTTTAATACGTAGGCTTTCGCGACTAATATTATTCATAATAAACTTTTTGGGTTAGATCGCGTTATTTATAAATGTGTCGTAACCCTCCACCACCCGACACGCTTTGACAGCTACAGGCTTAGTGCGGCGTGGAAGCGTATGATTAAATAATACATATTACAATTCCTTATAGGGGAAACACATACTAATTAACTGATTACTAACGTAGTATATAATTACAATAACCATCTTCCCTCCTCCGCCTCCTTCTGATCTCTGCACTTGAGTGGTTATAGTAATTGGGTTCAGTTACGAAATAATACACATTACAACTATTACTAATCATAACAATTGACTGATTACTAATCTATTATATAATTACGCCTCAAATCACTGCACCTGAATGGGTTAAATGACGTCACCCTGCTGCTCTATTTAAGACCGGAGACAAGTGAGGGCTTCACTATTCTGTAAAATTTCCCGATGATGCTGGATGTAATTACCAGCGAAACGTCGTACTCAAAAATGTAAAATGTTGAGGATTCACTCTTCAACACACCGGTGGGCTAAAGTAGTGGACTATTTTGTCTTTTGTCAACGTGACACATTTTTTACTGATTGGCCATGTTGGGTGGTGGAGGGTTACGACATATTTATAAATAACGCGATCTAACCCAAAAAGGTTTATGTAGAATGTTTGTAAAATTATAAGGTCGAAATCTCTTTGTATAATTCCAGTATTTTCTTTCAGTTATTTCTTCACAATGTCGATCCTTCTGGTTCTCTACCTTCCTGTTTTTCTAATACATACGTTCCTCATACAATGCCAAATATGACATTCTGCCAGTTTAATTCTCACTATACATCAAAACCATTACAGCCTTTTCTCCCGCTATCTTCTCGGTCATCTTATGTCTGTGCTCCTCAAACTTTGAAATATCGATATGCTCAGGATTCTTTTCAGCAGGCTCACTTACATATTTAAGCATCTTCTTACATACCAATGCCTATTTTTTCAATTGTAAACTTTTTTGGTGATTATCAATGGTGCCTTTTTACCAGTATCAAAAAATATTTAAAAAAAATGTAAATAGGTTTTACTCTTTGCGGCAATAAACCAGGTGGTAAGATGTTCAAACACCAAATAGATGTCAGTTTCAAAGACAATGCATATATTATCAGAGCACGTGTTTGCATGTTTTGCCACAAGTATGTGTGGTTAGTGTAGACTTGATGCCTTGCAAAAGGTATATACAGTATTTTGTTTGAACATCTTAACATGTTTTATTTCCAGAAAGGGTAAAACCTATTCTTATTCTTCCATCATTTTTGGCGATTATTTTCGTCACTTTTCCCCAATGTTTTACTCCATTGCGCAATCGGTGTCATGGCATGAAACAAAGAATCAATCTGGCTCGCTCGCAAAACAAGGGCATCCCTTCGCGTTAGAGAATGGCCCACGAAAGCAGAGATCATAGAGCTGCATCTGAGAACCCTTCAAGTGACCTCTGGTCCACAGAGCAGAGGTAATCAATTTTCCAACCGCCCTGCAACATCCTCGTAATTTGTTTTCACAGCAATCACCTTTTTTTAATTGAGCTGGGATTGAGCAAATGCCATATTTGGCATTGTGCAGTAATTAGTCTATGTACAGTGGTCACTACACTTGAGAACCCAATTTAATCACAGGCGGCGGCCAGGATTCGAACCCAGGTATTTTAAGAGAATTCGGCTCGGTGCAGTGACCTCTGTGCCATGATGCCACACATCATTTCGAGTTGTAAATGTAATCCTTTAAAGATAAAAACATTCACGACCTCCCAGCCTGACACCGAAGGTTACTCCCCGCCAATAAAACGTCTCGGTAGAAACCAAACAAGGATCACTGGCGAATATACGGCACGGACAAATCCATTTGATTGTATCCCTCAAATATTATTATTTTTTAAACGATATGATCTGTGCAACCTGTACGAGTGGTAAGATTTGCATGAAGGATAGTTTCACAAATCACGCAACTTCACAGTTAAATTTCAAAAGAACCACAATACATGTGATGACATTCGTTTTGCACTGTAATGTCGCTTTTTAAAAATATATTATTTATGGAACATGTCATTGGTTTCGTTGAGCTATCATTTGTGATGGACAGGTTGCTTCTGAAAAATAACTACAGTATATAGCTCAGTGAGCCTTACCTGGTGAAATAATTAGTTTGGTTTGAAACTGCATGCACCATCACCATCTCAGCGTGAATGCAAAAGTCAGTTTCATCCGTGTACGTCCGACAACCACAGATATTTATGAGTATCTATATCACGAAAGGTGGACAATACTATGCCCAAGTCACTGTGCGATAGTACTAACTCTGTACGCACATCTTTTTAAAAAAAACACCTTAAGTGTACATCTCAATTCTTCGGACATTTATCCAGTCACAGACCAACAATAACAAAAAGGTGAACTTACCACTCGGGTAAGAGGTTTTTTTTTTCTGGGTAAGATCGCGTAAATAGAAATGTGTCGTTAAACCAGCCACAGCCAATTAGTAAGGGTTTGTCACGTAAACAGAACGTGGCCAATTCGTTACTAGGACAGCAACACACCGGTTGCGTGTTTGGAGAGTAAACCCACAGCATTTACAATCTGAATACGACGTTTCGCCTACGCGTTAAACTTACCAACTCGGCGCTTAATGAAATCTTGGACGGAAAAGTGTGCGACTTTAAATCTTAAAAAAAAACTGTAAAGAGAAAAATAAACAAAAATCACCGACGACTTTCTAAATTCCCAGGGAATTTTTTTTTAAATAAATTTAATGACAGCGGTTTCCGCGTGCAGCTTTTTCGCGAACCCGGCTCGCGATGCGACGAACGCCGAGGGCGGAGCCGAGGCCGCTCGACCCAGCGGAAGCAGAAGCGGCAGCGGCCACGTTGGGTGAGGACACTCGCGTCAAGGATAACCGCAGGAAATCCGATGAGCCGCGAAGCTCTTTTGCCATCCACGTTGAGTGAGGACTTGCTTGTAATTTTCTCTAATTTTTGCACCCCCTGTAAGTTTTGTGTGCGTGTGTATTTGCAGCGGTTATTGCCACGCTACGCTACGCTGCGCAACGAACCTGGCGACCCGGTTTCGATTCCCGGGGCCTCCCCTGGTGCGGTGCGTAAACATCGGCACTGGGGAGACAAAGGCGGCCGGGCGTGGTTGTTGCTCCACCCACCCCCTGGTGTGCCGTGCCGGCCTTCGAAGGTGCTGCTCGCTAAATAGCACTTGCCCCCACAGTCTTTATTTTGTATTTGTTTGCTGTCGTAACTTGCTGATTTTGCCCCCCGTCCCTCGTACTGGAGATCTGTTTAAAAAGAGCTTCGAGGCGCATCGGATTCCCTTCGCTCCAAATGTTGATTTTTGGTTATGACGTCATCAAGCCCTCGCGTAACAAAAACAATTTTTTTTGTTCCCTATCCAACATGGCGGGCCGGGTCGAACGAACCGATGACATCATGATCAATCAACGCGCGACGCGGCCGTACCGGGCGAGCGTTGATTGGTCCGCGGGTAAGTGAGGAGGGGAGGGGGGAGTGTGCGGGGCGTGCATTGATTGGAAGGGGGGGCGGAAAGCTCTCGGGGTGTGCGTTGATTGGACCGATTCCAGGGATTGGGGGGGCGGAAAAACCCCTCTTCGGGCGAGCCTTGATTGGCCCTGCTCCAGGAAGGTGGGGGGAAATTCTGGGCGTGCGTTGATTGGTCCGGCATAAGCGATGGTGGGGGAAAAAAAATTCCTTTCGGAGCGTGCGTTGATTGGTCCGCTTCAGGGAGGGGGGAGGGAACCTTCTGGACGAATCACGACGCGTCTTATTGCCGCGTGAGGCCCGCGCGTGCGTACGTTGTGCGTTCACCCATAGCCCGCGTAAGTACAGTGGCGTTATATTTCGTTGTGATGGTTACTTCAATTATATGCTATCTTACGTCTCCCCCAAACGCCTGGGTCTCCACTTGAGCTTCGAGAAGGGCAGTGTTTTGTTGTTTTCCCCCACGGTTTGGTTGACACGTTTTGAATGTGGTCGAGTAGGCCTCAAACCTTCGCTCGCCTCGGCGAGTGAAAGGCGAGAGCCGGATTCACAACGTTAACCGGCTTCCCCCCCCCCTTCTCTTTTAAAGTTATTGCAAACGGGAACTTACCCATTGCTTAAGGTTGCGATCCGAAACCAATCGACTAATTGCACAGTAACATTTGATATTGTATCCATGCCGGGCATCGCCCGCAATGAGTCGAGGTAATATTTTGGATCTGCTATCTGCTCAACACCGGGTGCCGTAAGCTTCTGTGTGGCTCATAAGTGGTGAGCGGCAGAGACTGCTCGTACACAATAAGTTCTTGTATTGTACTGTACTTGTATGTTCCTGCGTTTATTGTGGCCTCTCCTCTCCAGACTTCAATCCGTAATGAGCAGCGTGATGGTCGTATAACCCCCCTTCGCACAGCACGGGAAGGTTCTCGTACAGCAGTGGATTTACAAGAAGTCCGTACATTCAGTTAACTTTTGGACGACTATCGAATGTGGAGTTTCTCACTAGCGGAAGGGAACCCGCCCCATTGCGCGTTTTGAGAATGACCTCACTGAGCGTATTATTGAATCAATTGTCAGTAACTCATATCTCACAGTCTGAATACAGATCAGTGGGTAGATCTATAGCAGGGCGCTTTATTAAAATCCCAACCAGGACCAATTATTACTCATTGTCATCATCATTGTTATCTCTTTCAGAATGTTGTAAATTTGAATATCTTTCAAATGAGACTTTCATTTTGATGAGACTACTGGACATCTGTGAAACAACTGGATATTTGTGAAAAAGGGCTTTGAAACTAATCGGATTCCTCCAGTATAAAAAAGGATTCTGATTATAAATTATTTGTCACCGCTGGTTTCATGTCACCATTAGCGTAAAAAAACTATTATGAATAGAAACGCTGTCTGATCCAGAGCCTAGTTAAGCAGTGGTCACAGGGCCCCTCGAGAAGCAGTGCATTGGAAGTGGTGTAAATATTAAATGATGATTCACTTGCTTGTGAATGGGCCTTTTCAGCCAGTTTCTGCCTAAACGTCCTGATGTTTTTCAGTAATTTGCCCATGATGTAAATGAGATTTTTTGTGAAGATATACTAAATAGAATTAGGTAAAATATGCATTTGGGATTGTTAATTACTCAAAGCAATACTTCATTTTCTCATTCTTGCTGTTATTCTTTGGGCGCCATAGTGGCGAGATGTTAACTACCTCGCTTGGTATACGGGCGGTCGTGGGTTCAATCCCTACCCTGACGTCTTTTTATATGGAGTTTGCATGTTTACTCCGTGATCGTGTGGATTTTTTCTCCGGGTCCTCTGGTTTTTCCCTCCACATTTAGAAACGTGTACTTAGAGTATTTGGCTGCTATAAATTTCCACATGATTAGCCACTTCGTTGAGCTATCATTTGTGGCCAGGTCGCTTCCGAAAAAAGATTTATACAGCTGTTTGACCCCAGTACCGCTTCACCCTCTCCCCGTTGTTGTTGCTGCTGCTGTCTTTAACGAAGCGCTGTTTGCTCCCTCGTCTTTCCCCAGGTGCGGCTGTTCCCATCCCAGGCGCACGCGCAGTGACTCCCATCAAAAATGGATTTCCAGCACCGGGCGGGTGGGAAGACCGGCGGAGGCGGCGTCGCCTCCTCCTCCGAGTCGAACCGCGACCGACGCGAGCGGCTGAAGCAGCTCGCACTGGAGACGATTGACATCAACAAGGCAAGTGAAGACACTGCTGGGAACGTGTGCGCGTACATATCAAGCACCCTTCGCTGTAGGGGGGTGGGAAGAGGGTGTAGAAAACCTATGGGACATGTGGGTGTATTCAGCCCATGACTTGATGTCTTACTAAACTAAAACTTTTTATTTTACCAGGTAAGGCCCACAGAGCTGTATAGCTGTTTTGCATAAGCGACCTGATTACAAATTATTGCTCAACGTAGTGGCTTATGTGGAAATTTATTACAGCTAAATAATCGAAACACATGTTTCTAAATGTGGAGAGGAAAACCGGAGGACCCGGAGAAAAATCCACGTGACCATGGGGAGAATATGCAAACTCGAAATATACAGGCGTCAGAGTTGGGATCGAACCCACGACCTGTATACCAGGCGAGGTAGTTAACGTCTCGCCACCATGGCGACCTGCCATCACATGAGCAGAATTATTTGCATTTTTAGGGCTGCTTAAATTCCTAAAAGCGCCTTGCATTATATCTGAATTGTTCAAATTGGCTGCTGCAATATTACCCAAGCGGACCTCCAGTGGCAGCTATCTGTTTGGCACACGGTATTCAGAGCACCAGCCTGTAAATGGGAGTTAGTTTTGCGGTAGGGGGCAATGTTTGCCATTTGGGTTTTTTTCTCAATGAAGTAATTTGCTAGTATTATATAACATTTAGGCCGCTTTTTTATAATGTAATGAGGCCTGGCACTCCAAAACAGCCCACTAATGATATGTATCCTTCACTGCAAGCACTAATGGGGAGCTATGTTTTCAATACGCCAATAACATTTGAGTTTCTAATTTTAGCATCCTCAGTCATTTATCTCACTGCAAGGGCTTCTTACAATGATACAAGTGATTGGGGTATGTCTGGAAGAAATCTGAAAATGTTCGTGTGTTAAATAACAAATTACTAACATCAAAAGAGGTTGAGTGGATGATGGAGCTTATGCTTTTTGTGGTGAGCAAGGTTCAGCCTGTGACCATGTCACCAAAAATGTGCTCAATCTTGTTAGATAACCGATGTTGATGGATATTATTTGGATGGGAAACCACCACCCACAAACAAGTTGTCATCGGGCTACGTGATTGGCAGTCAGGGGCAGTGCAACAAAATCCCTTGTTCTGTACGATGTTACCACGTTTGTGCTCCTAGCTTTCACCAACTTGTACTGACCATTGTGGCGAATTACGGTAAAACAACCTGAATGGTGTGGGGAGACCCTGATCCAGCATTTTATTGACAAGAGGGCTGTGCATTTACTGCACATGTAAACTAGACAATAGGGCTATTATGTCAGAGTTGGTAAGAGCTTCAGGCTAAGGCCATGTTTGGAGAGGATATCTGTCCAGTTGCATGAGACTGTTAATACAATTGCATTGTTCAGTCTCGCACCTCTGGAAGTCATTCTGACTAACGTGCCGCTAACGGTCCCCATGCTTGTTGTAACACAGTGTTGCTCTTTGACCGATACCCTTACCCGCTTCTTCTCACACAGGACCCGTACTTCATGAAAAATCACCTGGGCTCATATGAGTGCAAGCTGTGTCTGACACTCCACAACAATGAGGTACCAGCTCGTTTGTATATAGCTTTCTATTTCAAAACGTACCTTTTTTACATTTCTGAGTCGAAATCTGAATTGGCCTCTACAATAGCCTTGAATAAAATATAATGTTTATCGCTGCCTGGTGTGGTAGGACATGCCTGTAATTCAACTTTTTAGAGCGGGATTGGTGCATTACCCTCTGCTTGTTACAACAGGGTTAAGATGTTTCCAGTTGGTGGCAATACAGAAAATATGTTGCTCATCATCCACAAACAAGTTGTCATTGGGCGATCGAAACTTCGTGGGTTTCTTGCTTTTATTATTTTCAAAATATATATTTTTTCTACGTGACTTTACCGAAAGAACCAAGAATATGAATACATCTAGATGTTTTTGTTCATTTAATTGTTATCCCCTCTATGTAAGAAGTTTTTTTGGTTGCTCCTGTTTTCTCTCCAGTGAAACTCGGGGAATTGGCCAAACATCCCAGCACAGGACCCTCCTGAAACAAGTCTTAATAAGCAATGCAGCTTTCCCTGACTAATACGTACTTATACTGATCTCCATATATATAAAAGGCAAAGTTGTGATTATGTGTGTCTGTTCAAATTATTTAGCGTACTTCCCGACATGCAACAAACTGGAAATTTGCCATGTGGGTACTTTTCAGACTGTACACCATGCAAAAATGATAAAAATACACTTTTTTGGGGGGGGTGGAGCTCAATAATGCATATATTTTTTGCACAGCAAGTGATCTGTGGCCTCAAATCTGTCACGTGACCCACACGTGGAAGCGTAACGCATTGTAGTGTAGTGGTTAGCGCACCGCGCTACGAACCCGGCGACCCGATTTTCGATTCCTGCTCACGGCCACCACCGGTGACGATTATTTGAACCGGTCCTGGGCCTCCCCTTGGTCGACTTAGCCTCAAACGAGTAACTGGTGTGGTGTGTGAACATCGCCACTGGGGAGACAAAGGTGAATCCAAGTCCCGGGCGAAGCCGGGTAGTAAAGCTAGTTATTTAATATACCGCTACTATACATATGCATTTGTGTAATGTCTGTATAATTTTTTTCATTGCAGGGAAGCTAC